CATTTCCCCATACTTGAATTTGTTACAGCTCTTGTGAAAGTTGCCTTGATATTGTACTGCACCTTCGAACGTTTATCTAGTCTCGCTTCCTTGATGACAATCAATCTTTTATTGCATTTGAACAGGTTTACTTCCTTCTAGTTTAAACACGTCCCGCTTCCTCTATGCAGATGATCTTGCACTCACCTCCCAGGCCACCACTTTCGAAGAGGTCGAGGCGAACCTATCAAATGCTCTCACTAACTTAGATCAGTATTACTCCGCAAACTCGCTGAAACCAAATCCGAGCAAAACTCAATCCTGCGCATTTCACCTTCGCAATAGAGAGGCAGGGCGAAAACTAAACATTGTCTGGGGTGAGGTGTCTATTGAACACAGTAACTTCCCCAAATACCTCGGCATTACTCTGGATAGGTCACTCACCTTTCGTAAAAACTGCGAGAACATCAAGCAGAAAGTCCATAGCCGGAATCAAATCCTGCGTCGCCTAGTCACTTCTAAGTGGGGTGCCTCGCCTGATGTTCTGCGAACTACTGGGTTGGCCGTTTCCTTCGCTGCTGGTGAATATGCGTGCCCCGTGTGGTGCCGCTCTTCCCACGCAAAACTAGTGGATACAGCACTAAACGAAACGTGTCGTATTATTACTGGCTGTTTGAAACCGACTCCGATACCAATGCTGTACCCACTGGCAGGAATTGCGCCTCCAAAAGTGCGCAGAGCAGTGGCGAGCTCCAGTGAAAGGACCAAAATGGAACAAGACACGCGACACCCCTTGCACGACAACATCCTGGTGCTACAAAGGCTAACAAGCCGTAAAAGTTTTATGAAGTGTGTCTTACCACTTGGAGATGAACGACCACAGGCAAGATGCAGGATGTGGCGGGACAGTTATGGTCCTTTGCCAATCCCATTTGTTCCACCGTCTGAGAATCTTGCGCCTGGACATAGTTTGCCTTGGCAGACCTGGAAGTCTCTCAACAGACTCCGGACTCAGGTTGGCCGAAGCAAGGAAAACTTGTCCAGGTGGGGATTTTCAGCGGGCGGCCTGGAGTGTAGATGTGGTACTGTTCCACAAACGATGAGGCACTTACTGGCCTGCCCTGCTTGCCCTGTTACTTGCAGCTTACAGGAGCTTATGGACGCCACTGACAAAGCAACGATCGTGGCTGAGTTTTGGGCTGACTCCATTTAAAACTTGCCATCGACACGAGAAGAAGAAGAAGAAGACTTCCTTGAAGTTAAAATAATCGATATTTAAGTAAAAGCTACTGTTTTAAATTATTTGTTGATACATATATACAATGACAAAATAACATGCTAATGTTAATTATGTAATTTGCGTAAATTATATTTTTTTAAACCTTGATTACGAAGTGCGTTGCTTATAAAGTAGGTACTACTAAAAGTAGGTCATACTAACAGAAAAGGTGTGTATGTACTTATGTTTCCACGTAAGAAGTTATACTTGTTTGTTTTTTAGAGCATTTAAATTAAAGGTTGTTTTTTTTAAATGTTTACACTTTTTTAAATATTTTTACTTTTTTTTCGTATTCTTCTAAGCAAGCCCTTTCATTTGATATCCATATTATGGGGGTGCATAAAAAAAACAGTCCACCTTCTTTGGGAGTCCGCCATATTGGATTTACAATGACGTCACTTTGCTTATTGTGTTTCGTTTATCAAGTTGTGTAGTATATAGAAATACCGGAATAAATATCTTGAATATAGTGATCATACTATACTAAAGGAAGATTTAACAACTTCACACTGTAGTCAATAATGCCTAACTTCATACTGTACCTAGTCTAAATCTGTCGCATCGTAAAAAAATCACTCATCATTTATTTTTCATTTTTTGTTTCATTTCATTTTTTTCATTTCATTTTTTTTACACGTTAAAAAAAGTATAATTTCAAAACTAAATTTCTTTTGCAAACAAGTTTTTTAAAGGCTAAAAATATCTATCTCATAAATAGATTAAGATTTATGTCAGTGGCATAAACTTCGTCGTCGCAATTTTGGAATTTATAAAGATAATACTTAAGTAGCGATAAATATGTAATATGTTGTTGTCACGACAGATACATATCATAGTTATTCTACACTTTGCAACTTATTATACGACGTTTTAGTGGTAAATACTGTTTTGTTTTACTGATAAGGTTTGACTTTTAAAACCATTTGACTTCTGAGGACCTCAGACCATAGATCTTCATAATACCACTGTATAATGTATTATGATGATTGGGTCTCTGAGAATATTCAACCATTTAATTTAATCACACGTTATACTTTATTTATACAACGACTACTGTTTAGGCCTTAGGGGAATAAAATAGTATATTTTGCTACTTTTGTCTGAGACCTTACTCTCGACTCCTAAAGCCCCGTACATATCAATGCAAGTAAAACGCTTACAATATTTCTTATAAAAAAATGTTTGGACTTTAATATTCTGTAATAACCATATTACGGGGTAAATATGAGGTCGTGGGGTCGTTGGACATTAAAATTTTATTTATACATTATCTATCTATACATATAATAAAATTCTAGCTAAGTCGAATGTGTACTGTGGACATTAAATATTTTTTGGAAAATGTTATTGAAAATAGACATTATTATCGATACAGAGGCCGAATCTATAGTTTTTAGAATTTTTGTCTGTCTGTCTATCTGTCTGTCTGTTACCGCATCACTGAAAAACCACTGGAGAGATTTTGATGAAATTTGGTATGGTCATAGCTGGTTATCCGGGTCAACATTTAGGATACTTTTTACCGCGGGAGAATATCTCATTTCTGAGAAAAAACAAAGACTGCAATGTAAGAGTATACTAATATGAAAAACCTAAGAATTTGGTTTTTGGTCATCAAAACGCGGGTGGAGCCGCGGTCAATGTTAGTAATTTATAAGTATACATTTTAGAAACGCATTAACACATTAAAATTAAAGCAAAAAAAATGATTCGTAACTCGATATGTACATAAATGATCTCGCTTGACTTGGCCCAGTCACCGCGAGCTTCAGCGGGTCCGGTCAGGGTGTAAGCGATTACTTTCATTTCCGTCTGTACTCTGTAGTGCACTGTGCAGTAGGTACACGTGCAGGCCCACGTCGTCATCGGGAAGGGCGAGGTTTCACTGTAGCTTTCCCGAGCTTATTTTCCGGCCAATTCTCCAATTATATTACGCTTTTTCATCGTCAGGAAATATTGCAGACATAAATTGGAAAACAGTAACTTTCTTTATACCATAAGCCAACTTGATTGGGATAAGACGTCCTTTTGTGTTGAATTATAATCTTAAGAAATTAGTCTTACAGTTTTTTTATGTGATCGAAAGACGTAAATGTTAAAGCTAATCTTAGTTCGAATCTTCAATCAAACGCTATGCTGCTGATATAAATAATATTTTCTTATTTGAAATTGTTCCACGTTGGTTAAACTGTACTGAATAAAATATTTGTTACAATCATAATAAGTACCTAATATTTATGGATATAAACAGGATTTACATAAGAATAGAATATAAAATAAAATATATAAAATAGAATATATAAAAAAATAGAATAGAATGTGAAATGATAGCAATTCAAGCATAAAACAGATAACGCATATTTTAAAACTAGTACGTTTTGTAAGTTATTGTAACTACTAAACATATACATATATGGTTCATAAAGATACGTTAATTTTCACAAAATAAATAAATAACCGGGTTCGTGATGGCATTTTTTTGTTTTGTTGACGCTGGGGAAACCCATCATGGCGACCCTGCTCGCCGTCATAACGGACAAGATACTCCTACTCACTAAAACCCACAGCGGAACCTGTCGCCGCAGTGCAATGGCGCGTTGCAGGATCGCTTGCGCATTCACTAGAACACCCCTGCAAATTATGGCATAACATCAGCCAGGGGGGCTGATGTCATTGTTTGTATTCTGCTGAACAATATTTACTATAGTAAATCAACTTAACTGCGGTAGTCTCAATGCACTTTCTCATCGCGGTCGGACGCGGCCAAGCGTTACGTCACGTCTCACCGGCCCTTGGGAAATGCTTTTTGCCCTGTGCTCCGACTTTCCTACGTCTGCCGAGAACTATCTTCGAGTAACCGGTTGTGGCAAGTTTTGGCAACACGATGCCCTGTTCGACGAATTAAAGCCACACCAAATTAATTCTACAATAATATATACTAATAATTAAACATGATTCTTAATAAAATTTGAGGTCTGGTAATATAAACGGCAATGAAAGCCGAAATTAAAAATTAAAGAAATTGGTACATAAGAAATGACAAAGGTATTATTTATACGTAATTGTTAATTTGATATAAATTTTATCCAAATTTCCCAAAATAAAACAATTAGTAGCGCCATAGATGAAGCCAAACGTCCCTGTTGTAGGTACATCTACAGTTCTTCATTAAAAATATGATATGACTTAAAGGCGTAAGTTGACACTGTAATGTTTGAGATTAGCGTAATTTAATGGAATGACACTCGACCTTGGCATCGAATCTCATGTTAATAGAGTCGCTAAATGTGAAAATCCGGCTTAGTCACTCATCGCGAAAAGCTTTCATGAGTTCAATGGCCATAAATCGTTTTCTGATTCTATATAATGTTATAGGAAGTGAAGCTTTATTTATAGAGTTTGCCGCTTGCACGCGTCGCTTGCGCACCGTGCACGTCCGTCAGTGCTAGCCGAGGTGCCGTCGTGACCGGTGCTCCACGCGCCCTGCTCTCCCGACTCTGACTTATCGCGGTTCGCACTCTCGAATACTTAGGTGTCTGTGATAACTCCGATACTATCCGCCAATCGCGGCAAGTTTGTACGTAAACGATAAACTATCAGCTCGACGCCGATCTGTGCCGAATCGAAATCGAAATTTTTCACGACGCCCTAGCGTCCCGGTAATAGCGGAGTGCTTGTACACGGCATTTTGTTGCTATTCTAGCATATCCTTGAGTGAGTTTACTGTGTGGGCCAGTGCAAGATGAGGCCCAAGGAGGAGGTGGATGCGAAGCTCCAAACGGGGACTTTTATTTTATCCGAGAAAATAGATGACACTAAGTCGAAGAAAAGCGAAAAAGAAATGAAGAAAGAAATGAAGAGGCTCGAAAAAGAGAAGCAGGAGCGCGAAAAGCGCGAGAAGAAAGCCAGGGAAAAGGAAAAAGAGCGTGAAAAGCAAGCTAAAAAAGGTTAGATTTTATATTCTACAAAATACTGTGAAGCAGGTCTTATCAACGAGTTGCGCTATCATGATGTCATCTCGCTCAATTATAGAGGTTACAGCGAGCCCGTATGACGACGACGAGGCAATAAAATTCTCTCACCATTTTCTGTTCTCACAATTTGAATCTATTGTTGTTGGTATTACATCATTAACGACCTTGGCAATACTTAATTTATCAAATATTTTCCTTTTATAAACCTTTTATCTTTATCAGAGAGCAGAGATAAAGCATCCGTTTACGTATTATATCGAGTACACCTTCGACAGCTATTCTGCTACTTTTTTTATTAAACACTGTTATCAGCACCTCATTAGTAATTAGTCAATCTAAATGATTCGCAAAGGAATAACTTAAACGAGTTCGAACAAATGACACGATTGTTGTGAATAATAATGAGATAGTTAATTGGAATGTATTTGTTTCTAGACCAGTTTAATACGATTATAATTTGCCGTCGCTATTGATATTTATATGTGACTTTAGTGGGAGTGACATTTTATTTCATCAGTAACATGATTATTTAAAACTTCTAAAAACTATCATTTTATACTTATACTGTCAAAATGTCACGGCTCAGCTAAGTGTGGCGATGGCACATTCTGGCACACACGCACACACGAATATGAAACATTCTCAGAATATTCTATCTTTATCCGATTTTCCAAAATTAAATCGTTCTTATAAATTTTCTTCTTAGAAGCAATGTCTACAGATAGATACAGGTAGATGTAGTAAGTTCTTACTGTGTAAATCAAAATGACAGCATATCAGATTAATATTTTTCATTTTTCATCTGTAAAAGTATATAGTAATAGTGTTGCTTAGTAATTTGTCTTTTTAAATAACAGCAAACAAATTAAAATTATTATCCTTAATTAATTTTAACTTTTTAAATTACACATAGAACAATTATATGGCTTAAATAATTAATACTATATTTCATATTTTTCTTTATGGTTATAAATATAATAATGGCAACACTAAATATAGATTACTAATTAAGTAATATGTTTAAAATTGTAATAATTATAGGAATAACAGCAAAAATTAAATAAATAATATTCCATATTCAATTATAAATTAATTAAAATTATAAAAATGTTTAGTTATAAAATATTGTAAGGTAATCGGTGCAATTTTCATTTTGTTATTTGTGGGTAGGCTGTCTGTAACATCTATACCTTCGAGACATGTAACACCTCAGTCTCTCCCGTGACCATGAATGCTGTAAAGCATTCCAAACGTCGGGAACCAAAAATCCAAATAAATCCGCGAAAAAATCCGAAAAGATAGTTTTATTTATAATGTCAAATATTCGTGTAAATCTAAGAAAGTGTTAAATGAGACATTACTTAAAGTATGGTCCATTATGCTCGCTCGTATTATAAAACTCAGTGACCATCAAAAATTAACTTTAAAGGACGACGTATACGTAAATTATATTTTAGATATTGAAATAAACTTGAATAATATATCTACATATAAAAATATGACCAACAGAATGTTTATTCACTTTTAAAGCAATGTGAATGGAGCGTTTCATCGGAGGTATTAGCAACAAAATGCATCGTATGGTAAACATGAGCGTGAGCGTTTTCTCTTTCAATTCCATTTATAATTGTTTACGAATACTAACTCCGTCCGAGCGGCGCGCGACCGTACGTTTGCAATCAGTTAGCTGCTTAGCAGAACGGGATTTATGCAGCGTTTTGCATACAAAAGTTAGCCGTCATGGTCCTTACATCGGTCGAGAAATTGCTGTCTTGCTCGAGCAGTTGCAATTGCTCCAAACCGAACCAGCTTTCGTTTCATCTGACACGCCGCGCCCTTTCATTTCCTGCGCTACGTCGCCTCTTGGTGTAGCGCACACGGCGCTGTGTACATTGTGATGCCCTTTTAGGCTGCTTCAGAATTACCCACGACAATATTATTGTTTTCTCTCCCTATTTTTCTTTATGCCAGTCATTAAAGCGGCATGTGACATATGTCATTGTACTTTTCTCAAATTCGTTTGTCGTAACTGAAATGGAAGCTTACCTAGTATTTACAAGTCTATTAAATATATAATTATGTTTGATTTAAATTTGATTTAAATCAATTCTGATAGGAGTAACTTGCTGCTACGTCGTTACAATTCGAGTTGAGAAATACCTTACAACAATATCATTGTTTTCCGACACACAATGATTTCTTTCAATTTGCATAGCTCATTATAGGACATTCCTTTGATATTGTTAGTGTTTGACCTCCTTAACTTTGACTTACTTTTAGTTTTACGAAAATTAATTGATTCTTAAAATATTTCCTTTTACTTATTTTTTAACTGTGTCCAACACATTAAGTAAATTATACTATAATTAAAAACTAAGATTAGACTTAACTATTACGTGCAATCAGCACCTCACAGTACGGATTGTGTGTAATTCGGCTGGCTGTAGTAATGTAGGTAGAGCACGGAACAATGCTCATTAGATAAGCTCACAGAGACATTCTACTAGATTTATATGGCTTAACTGCCTCGGTGGTGTAGTGGCTAGCATGTACGGCTGCACACCCGAAGGTCCTGGGTTCGAGTCCCGTGTCGGGCCAAGTTTAGTTACTGATTCTTTCTGTATAGTAAGTCTCAGTAACAGCCCGAAGTTGGGAAGTTTTGAAGTCGGTGTTTCACCCCCGTGCCTCGGAGAGCACGTAAAGCCGTCGGTCCTGCGCCTTAACTCTCACCGGTCGTATCGAGTGGTCCTCCCACCGGAGTATGAGAGTGATAGGAATAGTGAGTGCACTTGTGTCCGCGCATACACTTGTGCACTATAATATCTCCTGCGCAGTTGGCTAATCTCAATGAGATTGGCCGCCGTGGCCGGAATCGGCTAGGAGAACATCATCATCATTATACTTGCTATTCTGGTATATTTAATTAACGACGTGTTGTTGTACATCACTTAGTGGGTCTCCTATTGAATATATGTATTTTAAATTCGTTCTAAAAAATCATGTTTTTGTTTGATTTTATAATTGAATTCCGTTACGAATAAATGTAATTCCTATGGTTTGTAAAAAATATAGAAACGAGTAGCTTTTCTAAACTCTATATACCTACCTATATTTTGTCTTTTGTTTTCTATTTGTAATAACACAATTATTAACATAATTGCGATACTTAATAGGTATTTAAATAAACGCGGAGGCAATCAAGATGTGCTTATTATTTATTGTAGTCGATGTAACCGTAAATTTTTTCGTGACATTATTGGTAACTGTATCATGTACAACGTTACGGTGTGTATCGCAGAAGACATTATCTATCTGGCGAGACTGAAGCGTGACGCCACTTGGCGACTTTGGTTGTCGGTACCCCTGGCTAATAGTAGTCTAATATTTATAACCTAAATAAATTTTGCAAACCTGTGTTAAAAAGCTACTTTATTCATGAACACGATCATAATTAGCACGACATGAATTTAGAATTTTACGGAAATATTACCGTTTATATATTTTACTTATAATAAAAATGACATCATGAAGTATCATACGAGTATGTGAAGCCAAGTTAAGAAAATATGATTACTCTTTTATTAAGAAGTAATCTGTGGACTTGCGCCGCTTCACCTCTCCACCTTGCAAGCAAGCGGTTTACACGAAGACTAGAAGTGATAATTGCCGGACGTTCTAATTAGTAGCCAGCAGCGGCGCCGGCGTGTTGCTGCAGAGTGCAGACCTATGATTTCAAATGACGTCGAAACGGTACATAATAACACGTGCTTTAGTTAATCTCCTAGCAAATAACAAATGTCACTATGAATAGACGCATGCAAACTTTTATATTAGGTATATATTTGTATATAAAGCTTTAAAGAAGAGAGAACTTTCGTAATACATAATTATAGTCGGCCTAGATATAACTCGTGAAGAGTTTGAGCATATTGAATTGTAATATTAATTAGATATCATTGACATCACGATAGCAGATCGCAAGAGTAAGATTTACATCTTTTATTTCTTAATTGAGTGACGTTTAATTTCCCATCTCGATTTGGTTGTATCAATTAATTGGCGCGATGAGATTGTGATCACGTCTCAGCTTTTATGTATCCGCTTTACATTTTATATGATTTATGATTTGACGTGTCAGACCCATATCGTTTATATCTATTTCTGTTTCAACACTTTTTAAGCTGTTTTAACGCTTTTACAATAATTAAATTCCATAGTTTTAGAATTCATCAATCATCTCGAGACATTTATTATAATGTATTTCAGTCTCAGCGTGAAGTTCGGTATATTTAGACGAAGGGTCGGAGGTTGTCCAGCCAGGTGCGAGAGGAAGGGAGGGCAGACATCCTGTGTCGACCTATTTATAGTTCATACTATTATAGCACGTGCCCCAAAAGAAGAACATCAGGACCGCTTTATGTATTTGTTGTATGAAGACGCTAGTAAAAATAGTTTATATTGAATACTTTAGTAGTTATCGGCTTTTTTGGATATTATCTAATATAATAAAACACTGTTGTGTAATTATGTGTTTATTTATAAACTATTGCCTAATCAAAGTATGAACATTAATTAAATGCTAATACATTTTTATATATTAAAGTTTTGGGCGAATGTTTACTGTTTAGCGTAAAACCAGAAGCGAGTAACATCTTGTTAGAATGTAAACACCCATTAGGCATCTGTCAGTTGTCACAGCTCGCGCGTCGCGGCGTTCTGCCGATGATAACGCGCTGGCGACATTGAGGTGTCATTCATTGATTGCGACATAATTGATACGGGCAGTATTCGGACCTCTTGCTCTAATTCTTGATAACACGCGAGATTAGTTTCGTAATGAATCTATCCGTTTGTCTATTTAGGATAAATATGTATAACTATCTTTATTATGGTTGATTTGAACTTTATTTATGAACAATTTAAGATTTGATACGAATAAAACTATCTTTTCGGATTTTTTCTCGGATTTATTTGGATTTTTGGTTCCCGACGTTTCAAATGCTTTACAGCAATTATGGTCACGGGAGAGTCTCCCGAGAGTCTCCCGAGAGTCCGTTAATAAATCCGAAAAGATAGTTTTATTTAAAATGTCAAATATTCGTGTAAATCTAAGAAAGTATTATTTGATATTAATTTTAAATGATCTGTGCTATTTTTATTTATTCATAAATAATTAGTCGTTACGAATTATAAATTATTAATTAATTTCAGATAGGGAGTTTATTTTTGAGAGTGTATTATGATTTATGATATATTTAGATTACCAGAAATCATACCTCGGCACAATTGAATGTAGACCGATATATTGATGAAGCGATTGAGAGGTCGTAACCTAATTGTAGTTGTGTGAAGCAATCGTCCAGCGAGAACTGCTGGCATTGAAGCTCATTATCTCTATTCGAACGTGCAAATGTAATCTTCTGATAACACTCGTTGCATTGACGCAAGTAAATTAGGATCTAACGTGCAAAACTTATTTAAGTATTTTCTCCTTTAATTACGCCTAAATTCAAAAGAGCTTTAAAAAGCTTACATATTTTGTATATATTAGACCCGTTCATAGATTAAATAAATTTTTTTAAATAATTTTTATTGATAGGAAGCTCCGTGATAAGTGGCATAAATTACTTTCTTATGTCCATATTTCGAGAGGTTCACTGTAGCGCCAAGACGCGCGAGTTTGGTTTAGGCTGAACCGAGTGAACAATGAACGTGGCTCGCTAGTCGCTCGTATTAATTTTAGTATTAAAGTTGATTTTTACAAACATTCAGGTAGCCTCGATACGCATCATTGAATATCATGTTCATTTGTAGAGATTTTTTTGTTTGTACTGATATTGGTATAAGGAAATAAAGTAATAGCTATTTTAATTGACCAATTTTTTATTTATATAGTTTTATAATAGTAGTAGCCAGCAGGTAGTCATACATATTAAGTTTTGTCAAACGAAAATAAGTTTCACGTACATATGTAAGTAAACTTTCCCTTGCGGAGTAGTTCCAGTGATAGAGCAGGGACAGCTGACTGACTCACTTGCTTACACTAAATTTATCTTTCCTTGAAATTGTTTGTGATCTTTATCTATTTATTTTACACTTCTATATTTTTTTTTAAACATTAGTTCTTTTACATTCAATTCTATAACTGTCTAAATATTTGCACATTCAAACATTAAAACTGAGAAAGGCGATAGTTTTATTTGTTATTGTTTATTAATGGATTCATTAGATTTGTTTATTGTCCAAACGCCAGTAATTGAACGAATGAATCACTTCGTATTTTTACGACCATTTAACTGTCGCATACTTAATGCATTGCGTTAGCTAATTGCTATTTGTCAACGACATAATATGGTGCCTGTTACATTATCTATAGCAAGCGACTTGAAGTGTTTTAAAAATATTTATTTTCAAGTATTTTAAAATTAGCTTATGATCTTTTGTGAGCAAATTGTGTGACCCCATGATTGCCTATATTCTTCTATATAAATAATTTATTATATCTCGTAATTCTATTCGATACATCTTAAATATCGAATAAAATTTAAAAGAGACTAATAGCGAAGTAATGTTTATAAACCTCCACAATCGGTCGGTACAAGGTCACACAGCATGTGACTCATGAAATCGTGTATCTTGTGTCTTCGATTGTAGTCGTATAGCGTTATAATTTGTTAATCGGATACAAACTTATACTCTTTGGAGGGTTTTTTTTCTAGTTAACTATTTAGTATTTAGTGTTATTCGTCCGAGTCAAATATTAAACATATGATCATCATCATTTGAATGATGGCCGTCAAATTACGACGGCTGCGGGCGAAGGTCAATGACGTCAGCAGAAGTCACCTTGCTTAATGTTGACTGTTCTCAGGCCGAGTTGATTGTTTTTACAGCT